GTAGTGAGGAACCTGGCTCCAAGGTGGTGGTCAGTGTCCCCTGAGCATGCAGCTCTTTCTCCCACCACCTTCATGGCTCCCCTTCTCCCATTTCCTATTCCTTCCTCTCGCTCTGCCTCTCTCCCTTCTGCTCCCTCTTTCTGACTCTAGGGCACAGGCCTTTCCAGCCTCTCTGGTCCAGCCCCCAGCCCTTTGTCCTTAGAGGTAGGCGAGGCACCCTCGGCTCCTGATTGGCTGGCCCTGGCAGCCAAGCAGCTGACTTCCAGCAAGTTCACTTTTCTGGGCTGGGGTACAAGTTTCCATAGCTGGAGAGAAGCGAGATGAGATGGGGCTGGCCCTAGCGAGAGGAGGGGGCTGTGGGGATGAGGGGGCTGAATTCTCCCCAGAGAGACCAAATGTCCCCCTTTGCTCTCCACCCACCATCCTATCAGGACACACTCGTTGAATCCCTTCTCTGCATAGAGCAGCACAAACGTGAGGAGTGGGGCTTTGTCTCTTGGGCTCACAGTCAGGCAGGAAGACAGCATGGCATGGGATGTGCTAAGGGATACTAGGGCTGTGGGATCCCAGAGGAGCCCCTGTCCCCTACCTATGTTGCAACACACACAGGCCCCAAGAACCTCCCCCTTCCCCCTGGGGCTGTCCAGAGTGGGTTTAGAACAACAATATGGTTGGTGTTTGAATTCAGAGCCCCTTACAATCTCTCTACAGCTTCCAAGGCAGAGCTTTGCACCCAGAGCCCCAGTTTCCTTCTGTGTGGAATGGGGGAATAAGTAGCTTATTAGCCAGAGGCAGTGGAGGGTGGTAGAAGGAATATGTTACCCGGAATTGGGAGCCTAGGTTTTGAGTTCCACTCTGTCACTCACACATTCTGAAACCTCCAAGAGTTCATCGGGCCCCTCTACTGTAAAATGGGATCATTAATTCCTACTGCCTTGTGGAGCTCTCAGCTCTAGGGAAGCCCTTAAGGACTGATACTGGTGCCCAGCATGCCCGGCAAAGCCCAGGGAAGGACGGGCTGGGCCTGAGAGGCTCACTTCAAGCAGAGTGAGATGGGGAAGCAGCTGTCAAGGATGCCGCCACACTGCGTGGGAGGCCGTTAGGCTCTAGGTCTGTTTCTAGAGTTGGGTAGGTGCCAGGCGGGACCCGTCAGTCTCAGGAAATGCCTCTTGGCGCTGGGCCCAGAGCCACACTTTCACTGGGATGTGGGAGTCCAGAAGCAGGCAGGCTGCCCACCCCAATTGCCAAATAGGTGTACGAACAGAGTTGTGAGCTCGACTCCCACCTTAGGGCTGGCTGGGACAACACACCCCACCTGAAATGCGTGCGAGGCTTCAAGCTCAGTGTTGAGCAGAGTAATGTGGAAGCTGGAGGGCCCAGGGGGCAGGAACATGGACTCTGCTGTCCGACGGCCCTGGGTTCAAATCCTGTATGTCCCTAGTTGTGTGATCTCAATGAGTGACAACTTCCTGGAGTTTCAATTTCCTTTTCTGTGAAATAGGGATAACCACGCTGCTGCTTGTGGAGTAGAATGATGTCTGTAAGCACATCCCCTGGGCTCAGGACACAGGATTCTTAGTAATCAGCAGCCATTGTGATCCATCCCCTCAACGGGTTGAAACATGGCAGGATGTTAGGCCTGCCGGCTGCACAATTGAATCCCTGGGCCTTCTGATTGGACCGTAGTAGGGCAACTTGGCAGTTTCAATTAAAACCTAAAGTGCCACTCCATGTCCAGTGACCCCTCCTTCTCAGGCAGAGCCACCCAGAGAAACCTCACCCACAGGGCCCAGGTGGCTGGCCCAGGATGCCCACCTCTGCAGGGATAATTGGGAAAAACTGGAGGCAAGCAGAACACCCAGCAGTTGGGGAGCTGGTTAAATCCTTTCCTGATGTGAGAAGTGTTGCAGGGCCAAGAAATCAAAAAGGTCAACTGAGAGAACCCAAGGTTCAGAGTGATTCCACTCTGTGGTTCTATGTACCAGCTTGTGAAGTCACCCAAAGGTCCGGGAGCACAGTGTGGGGATACAGAGGTGAAGGACCACAAGTCCCTTTAAGTCTGGCTCTCAAGTTAAGTGTGCAGCCCATACTGGTAAGAGATGTCCATTATGGCAGGTTCTAACCAGCAGGTCTCAGCCCTGACTGTACATTGGAACCCAATGCCCAGGTCTAATAAAAGGATGATCTCTGGAGGGGGCCCAGGCATCGGTACTTTTAAAGCTCCTGGGAGAGTCCGACCTGCACCAGGATTGGGAGCCAATTGGGTGAGGCCCAGGAATATGCATTTTGCATAGTTATCCAGGTGAAGCCAGGAAATGCTGCTCTGAGCAGACCGCACCCTGGAAGGTGAAGTTACCGCCCAGGCTCTGTGTTTGGCCGGATCCCACGCTAGAGGCTCCCTGCCAGAGCTCCCACCGCTAGTCTAAGATTGGTGAATGGAGGTGGGAGGCCACCTCTGGGGCCGGAGTGCAGCGCCCCCTTGTGGTTGGCCAGCGCAGACCTGCTTTGCTACAAGGTACAGTGCTGGGTTCTTAACTTTGCTCGTGTCATTAGTCCCTGGGGAAATGTTCCTGCAAGGAATTGCTGGAGGACCATTTTGCAGAGACTCAAGAGACACAAAGGTTACACATCTAGACAGCTCCCCGAACGTTAAGAGGCTCTCTGGGTCAGTCCATATCTCAATCCCATTCTCTGACATTCGCCCCAACATTAGTCACATTTCCTCAATTTATTCCTTATTAAGACGTGCATAACTGATGAGTTGGGAATTCCCTGTTTTCTGCAAGTTTTAATAGCAGGAAATAAGGGGGCACGCAGCATTTGCCAGGGTGGGAGGGGCTAGAGAGCTTCAGAGCTTCCCACTGATGCCCTTGGCCTCATTCCAGCAGACTGGGGGATTTCCAGTCTCTGCAGCCCACCGTGCACCTGCCTCCTCCTTGGCTCCCTCTAAGCTAGATGGGACCTCAAACTGCCCTGGGAGAAGCTGGGGACTGGAGGCTGATTTTGGTTCCTCTAAATACTGACCACTCTCCAGGGCACCTTCTTATCTCCTTAGGGCTGGGGTGGGGGAGATGCACACAGCTGAAAACATGGAAGCTGGTAGCAAAGAAGGGGAAAGAGGCCGAAGAAAGGCCCCTAAAAGTGTGAGCCAGTCCTGAGTCAGTGTGGCCCAGGTTAGGCCAGACCTGCAAGGTTTGGGGCACTGGGGTGCTCCCTGCATCTTTTACATGATTGAATCTAGACCTCACCAGCTGTGGCCTTGGTGACTTAAGTCTTTGGAACTTTAATACCAGTTCCCAAATCAGGTCCTAAAGTGGCCTTAGAAGACCCCCAACTTCTGTTTCCCTGCAGTGAAATACATACTCTGATGGCCCTCACATTTGCTGTTTAGTCCATGTTAAGTACTATACAAGCCCAGCGCCTTTTTGGGACAGTGTTTTTCATTTTCTTCTGAGAGGGGAGTTTAGCTTTCTATTGGTTTCACCTGTGGTGGTAGACGCAGGCACTGTGGGTGGGTGGCAGTGTTGGGCTCTGTTCCTGACTCTTCATGCATTCATGGCACAGGTGCCTGCTCTGTGCCAGGAGCTCAATGGGCATCACTTTGAGCCGTCACTTAACAGGTATGATCTAGCATTCACTGTGTGTGGCTCAAGAGCCCATAAGAGTGACACTCTGGGTCTAGCACTGTGCTTGATACTTTTCCTGTACCATTAACAACAATTAATCCTTACAATTCCATGAGGAAACGACTGTTAGTCTTCCCATTTTATGAATCAGCAAACTGAGGCTCTGAGAGGCTAAGGAATTTTTCCAGTGGATCTGGGCTTGGGGCTCTACTGTGTTGTTTCCCACAGAGATGAGCAGTCTTCTGGGCTTGCTTAGGAGCTAATGGGTAGAGGTCACAGGTCTCTTGTCCTGGTCCTCAGAGGCCCCAGGAAGAGGGAAGGTAAGCCTGGTGGCAGGCAGGGGCAGCAAAGGGCAGCTAGGATGGGGCGCTGGCAGGCTGACTCGGAGTTGGAAGGACCCTTGGAGATCACGGATCTGCACTGGGGCTCTCCATGGATCCAGAGTAGAAAACTGAGGCTAGCAAGGGGAAGGGGCTAGGCCAGGGTCACACAGGGAGACCCTCGGAGGGAACAGCCAGGTATGTTCCCAGTCTTCTCCCTCCTATAGGGCAGAAGCCTGGCTCGCTCTTTTTGCCCACTGCAGACTCATACTGAACACGGCATGCTGTGGGTAGTCGGTAAATGTTGATGAATGAGCACAGGTGAGTGAGCGAACAGAAAGTATCTACTG